TATGGATTGGACACTTTTGGTCTTTCAGAGACCAACCCACTAAGCCAAGCCTCGGGTATCAGCAGCTTCAAGAAGGATCGTGATTATTACAGCTCGAATGATCTGGCAACCATGACTTGCCGCTAAGCTGAAGGTTGCAGTTCTACCGTCACCCGAGCGATGATCGTTTTCTAACCCACCGTCAATACACCTGCGACCGTGTCGTCGTTTGCCGGCCGGTTCGCATCGAGACGCGCTGGGATGAACTGTGTCTCCGTGTATTCACCTACAGACACAGTGAAGGCTCCAAAGAATGACCGATTCTACGCCCTTCTCCATACGGTATTCGGTTCTTTCACGCAACACCACTTATCGATAGTCGCCGATGATCTCAATGACCAGGTCGGCGCTGACCCTGACAGCTGACACCGTTTGCCAGTAGCAACGGCCATCACCTGTTGGACCTCTGTGCAACGCACGTCTCGTCATCGACGAGATACCGTTTCCGCATCATCGAATCCATTAGCCGACGGGAGGATGTCAGAACCAAACTGGAGTGTGGCCAAACCGATCACGTGCTGATAAACAACAAATGGCGAAACGCCTTCTGCGACACTCTGGCGAAACAACTTGCGGACATTGGAACTAGCGGTCGCGAAGCTCCGCCTTTCCTTCGCAACGACTGGAGCAACATCCCGGAAAAGAGGGAGGATGGGTACACCAGTTTCGGCAAGGAGACCTTGTAAGACTCCGTCACTCGCGAGGCCTTTGAGATAAAAATGCACAGCAAATTTGCTGCTATGAGAGAGGTCGCTATCTGCAAATAACTAGAGTTGCTTCACCGCTTTCATATCGACGCCGATGCCAAGGCTACTGACTTCAGAAGCTAGAAAACGAAGTAGCATTCGTCATTGTATGACCCTGCCGAGACGAAGAAACGAAAGAATCGTCTTCTCGTAAAATGGATCAACGTGGCTATCACAAAGGCAAGCAGCAATGTGTGAACCTCGAAGCACTGAATTTCGAAAAGCTGACGACGAAAAGGGCCTGGGAGATGCTTTGCATGCAATTAACAAATGGGACAAAGGAAAGCCTACCACAGGTCTGTTACACAGCAAGTCCAATGAGCCTCCGCAAGACCCTGATGGCCGTCGAAGGCGATGGGCTAAACAATTCCACAGCTCCTCAATAGCCTTGGTCCTCCTGTAGATGTCCAAATCAAAGATAACGTTAGAAAAGATCTAGATGTTGACTGTACCCCATCATGATCAAAGACATCTGAGAAGCGGCAAGATTCTACCAAAGTTCATGGACACGATGGGATTGAGTTGGAGATCCTGTGGTGTAATGGTGAAAAACCTCTCTGTTGAGTCCACCTGGCTTTTGGCCACATGCAACGAAACGAAGGTGGATGATGACCAGACACTGGGAGAAGAGCGTGATAATGCAGATCTTGAAGAATGGCAATGCGCAGGTTGTATCAACTTTAGAGGAATCGTCCTCTTACTGATGCTGGAGAAAGTATTTGCGTGAATCATTCTTATGAGACTAAGGGAATCCATCAATCGTTCTCCGCGAAGTAACCAAACAGGCTTCCGAAGTGTGCTCTCATGCAGAGACAATATCACTGTGCTGAAAAAATCATCGAACAATGCCGGAGCTTCCAACTTCCCCGGGGACTTATCTGAACTTCCGGCTTCCGGCAGCCTTCGATTCAGTTCATCTATAAAATATATGGTGTGTATTTGTCACTACCGGATTTCATAGGCGACGGTAAACCTGATAGAACGTCCATACTAGGGGACTAAATGCGCAGTTCTAACTGAAGGGTCGCTGTTGGACTCGTTCAACATTAGCAGAGGAGTTCGTCAAGGCGAGGTGCTATCTCCTCCATTATTCAACATCATGGCGGACTACGCTTTGAGTAAGTACGTCGTACCAAATTTCAACGAAGGATTGATCGTTAGTCGGGGAGGCAATTCGAGATGCCTGGCCCTATTCTCAATTCGCGACTCCACAAGTGGCTTACTGACACTCACTGAAAGCATGTGCAACACCGCTCTGAGAGATAAGGGTTAACTTCAGAAAAGCGAGGATATGAGGGCGCCTGTCAGGAACCGGAATGACATTACGATAGATGAAATGAACTGTTTTAAGTTCCTCAGAGCTGTGTTGATTAATGATGACGACATTGATCTTGAATTGAATCAGGGAATTATGGCAAGCTGCGTAACGTATGGAAGCATCGGACCGTAAAACCAGGCACTATGTTCTCCATTCGGCCGTATTCACGACGCTCATGTACATTCTCGAAATATCTGCGGTTGTGAAGTCTAATGAAGCTGGTTTAGCCAACTTCCAACAACTCTGTCTGCGCAGTGTCCTCAGCGAGAAGCTGCTGATGACAAGTGGATGGTCTGAAAAATCTATCAGGTGAACTCAGCGACCGCCACCAGGCTTGGTGTGAGAAAATGGCTATGAAAGAAAGTGAACCTATATTCGAAATTTTTCTCTCTTAACAGCCACCCAATGGCCACATGCCCGTTGGAAGACAATGTTAAACATGTCCCCAGCCTTGTTTCGGAATTTGAGAAATATGGATTTTGCCAGAAGGGCTAATTTTGCCTAATATCAGTCTTTCTAACCGTCTGAAATCATAAATCTTGGTTAATCTGCTGTTTGAGATTTGTTAACCTCAAATGACAACAACAAAATTACGGCAACAATTGGTTGATCGACTGGTCAAATATGACCTGACCACTCTGACTTTAGGATTCACGACAACGCCAGCCATTCGGTAGCGCTAACCGTTCTTCCATCATCTCTTGCCAACGCATGAAACACACGCGAAGCGCGGAACAAGGCTTTGTCGTCGACGATGCCCATACGTTTTCTTGGTGAATAATAAATAATTCCATTGCTGTCCAAAGAACCGAACGCTCTTGTCGCAAAGCTGCTAATTAATTACCCCGTAACAATTCACAACGCCAACAACATGATGAAGAACAAAACACCTTCGACAATCAGCCTTCCATCCGTGACTGATAGACAGCCACGTCGAGAGGTCATAAATCTTGCAATACGAAAGAGAGTCAGTTGTCCAACCGGCCCCTTCGAGCACATAGCTGAATGATCAACCTCGTTAAGGATCGATTTACGAGTTTGCATCTACTGTCACCCGGTGCCGAAGACTTGTGGCGGCAGATGAAGGCACTTCATGGTCCTTGCTCTCATTCGACCGTACATAGGTCGTAGAAAGTGACCTCACAACGTGACCTCGACTACGCTTTTTGAGTACCAGACGGTGTCAACCGGAGCATACTGTATCTACAGACTGACCAATAAATCTTTTTTTTCACTCTCCAGCAGGTGTACACCGCCAATGCAAACAATGCGACAAGGAAAAAAATCAGTTCCATGGTAGATCAGGCCCTGCCACAGTCAGTCGGCTTGCTCACAGCAGCCTGACAACGTATCCACAGCCATTCAGGCATGAAATCTTATACGATTGCTGTTTCCGGTAAGCCGTTGTCAACCCGTTTGCGACCCATGTGTCCAAACAACTGTACGTTCATATAGAAATTTGTCAATTCGAAACGTTACTTTGTTGTTTAATGCAACGGGCTAGCAGATGACGTTATGGGCTGTTATAGCATGGGCTGCAGACGACGTTATGCGGAAGGGCATTGGACCAAATTAAAACTATGAATTGGCCATAAGTCAGTCAGCATTGGCTATGCCCCAACGCGCTCTCTAAGACAGTGCTTCGTTCGTTGTTGCTGCTTTGTCTGTTTGGCATCATCCTCTTTAGCTACTTGGCCCTTAGATTCGTGATATTCGTACATTATGAATTTAGGTACTGCTAACCATTCATTTACGTAGTATTGCTATAGATCTCTAGTTAGCTTACTCTGCAATGTAACGTACTGGTGCCACTACCGTAACCATGTTTCGACTCACCCGTGGTATTAGTCAGAAAGGATGACAGGCGAATAGTTCTTTGAGGAATAGAACAGTTGTTCTGTAAGCAAGGGGCTCAACCAGATCGGCACTCGTCGATGACGCCAGATACGATACCCTGAAACACCAGGAGACGTGCTTCAAGAAGCGGGCTGAACTATTGCAGCAACTCCTCAAAGGGTGTTCGCAGAATTTACCTATTCCAATTGTTTCATCGGATTTTAAAGGGATTGTAATTTCCTCAGACATATTTCGTCAACAGCCACAAGCAATTATTGTGAGCCCTCCTATCAATGCATATTAACCGGTCGATGTAAACCAACGCCAACTCTTTGCAACGGAGAACCCGATGCTGGATTATGTGGTGGTTCCTTTAATCGCAGAGGGCGGCGATCCTTTGATCGGCAAAAGAGTCGGCTGATAACAACTAGAAATACCTCGGCTGTTCTCGAACGTCGTATTCAGAAGCCACTGATTCGCCCACGGCATACGACCACGAAGAAACTATCTGCACCTAACATCTGATTGGCTAAACGGGAAACAACAAAGATGAAATGGCCAAACCCTCGAGATTCATTGGCCTTTCTACAGAGATAAACACACTATAACCGCAGCCATTTCTGTGTACTGTATATATTGGAAGAAGCATGCTTCTATAATGAAAGTTATTGGAGCCATGACCGATTATGAGCTGTTCTTTATGGAGCGGCAGTCAAGCGTTATAACGGCAAATGCGTCATGAATATAATACAGTGCATAGTTTGACTACGTGGAAGAGCAACCGGATACCATAATGCATGCAGCACTTCGTGGATGTAAAATACCGTGAGGGCATATGGTAGTTTCCGTCAACATCGAGGGACACTTTAGGTTAGTAAGACATGAGCCGATCGACAGTAACTTAAAAATTCGCAAGAATAACATCAGAAACGGACAGCGGCGCCACAGGCAATGCGAAAGAAAATTTATTACTGTACCTACGGCTGATGTGACGTTTAAAGTCCCACTCTACTCCTGGTGACTCAGTTAAAGTCAAACCTACCAATTTCATCTATCTGTTTAGTTCCGTGATAACACTGGTAGCGTCAATTAGTACTTTTAGGATTATCTCATAATATTTGCTTCTTCTAACCTTCTGCAAATTCTCTTGAGAACTTTTGAGGTTGCCATCGACTCACTGTTGAGCACAAGTGAATATGAATGTACAATTCGTCGTATACATTCATTCTGCTGCACAGATTAGCGGGCAGACACTTCGGTGCAAAAAACGCTTGGAGAATCGTAAACCGACGCTTTGAAATTCACTAACATTGTTTTCTTGCTTGGTCATCATCATCGAACACTGACAGGGCCTAAACAGCAAAGCAACCCAGATTTATGATGTTCAGCTATGGAAATATGCACTTTTAATTATATTCATTGGCACAGTGTCTTTTTAGCCGGTTATCAGCAGACCTAACAACCTATCTGAAGCGATGATGAAAATCATCACAAGTTCAGAGACAGGTCCTGAGAAAAAGCAAATCGCCATGCCTAAAGAGATGCTATGCAAACCAAGATAGCCAGTGGCGGTTTTCACTCGCATGATCCTGTTGTACACTTAAGTTTCGAACAGTCTGTCGGTCAATTATTACTTCTGTTAAATATGAGCGAGAGTAGCTGATTAGCTTTTATAATAGGATGGCAGCTGCTAGGCTGGAAGAATCGTTGAAGTTCATTTATGACACGCTTATTTGCGTCGTGCAATGGCTAGTAATAGGTTGCGAATGAGATAGCACAAAGCCTG